CTCCCGCATGAGCCCTTGATAGTTTATAAATGGGTATTTTGTCATTTCTTGCCCTAGAATTCAAATTCTTAGCCTCCTAACTGTGAGAGAATAAATTTCTGTTTGTTAAAGCCATCTATTTGGGGTATTCCTGTTAATAGCTGCACTCGCTAACTAAGACAACATAGTTTATTCTTTTCCGTTTTATTTATTTTAACGTTATTGTGGATTGGGTGAAGGTTTGCAGCATAGATCAGTTTTCCATCCAACAGTTCATACACGTTTTGTTTCATAGCATCGATTGCAGTCACCACAGTGTAAGGTCACTTATCCCACTTCCTTCCCTTGTTTTATATTCCATTCCTCCTCCTGTAGCCCATTAACCTTTTGTCCTTGGGTCAGTGCTCCCCTTTTGAGTTCAAATGCTTGATTATTTTAAGGGGTGCGCACCAGCCTAGTGTTATTGTTCCCCTTATAGACTTGTCTAATGCTTACTGAATCGAGAGCGTGAGCTTCAGTCCAAACCTGGAGAGTAACTGAGGCCCATACAGTCTTCAGGGTCCCCACCAGCTGCTATCTGACCAGTAAGCCTGGTCTTTTTTTTTTTTTTTTTCCTCATGATTTTGAGCTTTGTTTCACATTTTTTCTCCCCCTGTATCAGTGGTTCTCAATCTTCCTGGTGCTGTGACCCTTTCACACAGTTCCTCACGTTGTAGTGACCCCCCAACTATAAAATAATATTTTTGTTGCTACTTCACAACTGTAATTTTGCTACTGTTATGAATTAGGCGACTCCTGTGAAAGGGTCCTTTGATCCCCAAAGGGGTCACGACCCACAGGTTGAGAATCGCTGCTCTGTGTGCAAGATCTTCTAATGTGATCCTTTAAGAGCAAGGGTTGGGTAGCCAGGCACCATTCCACTTCTTCTGGTCTCAGAGTCTGGACACTGATCATCCCATGGTCCAGTAGTCCATTGAACTCATTGTTTAAATAGGTCTTCAACTTCCTTCATTCTTCTTCTGGTCACGAGTTGTTAAGACCTCCGTCACTACTCATCCAAGGAGGATGTCGAGCATGGTCTTTGTGAATTGTATTATGCCAGCTGACCTTGACGTCTCTGAGTCAGGGGTCCTGAGCCCCCTCAAGGTGTTTGGTTATGTCTAAGATGCTTTGATAACTTCATGGCTGTGAATCTGTTTGCAGCAAAGATAAGTACATGGACAGATAGTGTCTGTCACACATGTATGTATTTGTAGTTATGTTCTCACTGCCCGCCCGTCTCTTCCATCCCATTACTTTCAGTCTACCTGTGTCCTTGACTTTAAAGTGTGTCTTGTGTGGGTACCATAAGGTTGGATCACGTTTTTCCAGCCCATTCTGTTAGTCTCTGTCTTTTGAATGGGGCAATTTAGGCCATTTACATTTCAGATCATTACTAAGAACAAAATACGTCCTTCCTTTAGCCGATTGTGTCTGTCCATGTTGCCCACATTCCTGTCACTTTTTGTGTTTCGCAGGTTTTGTTTTTTGTTCTGGTATGTCTTGAGTCTTTTCGATTTTGCCCTTCTGTGTACCTCTTCTAAATATTTTCTTAGCATCTATCGCAAATATTGCACAGAACAACTTGCAATTACAAACTTGCAATTACAGACAGTACCTTAATTCAGCTTGCTGCCAGCATTCAACCTACCAACAACAAATACCATGCAAGGTTAACCTACTCAAACTCTATTGCTGTTTGCTCACCACGCCTCATCCCCTCTGCCATGGAGTATCTTGCTGCATCGTTGTGCATCTTACACACGGCAGGTTTCATTCTGACTTATTGCTGATGTACTTGATACTGCATTCTATTTGCACTCTGAAAAGACCTTCCGTTTGATCTTTGTTGTGATCTTTGCCTGTGTGGCTCCCTTTATTGAGACCTCTCCTGCTCTTTTTACCCCTTACCGTGTTCAGAGTCTTTGTCTTCCCCATCTGTCTGGAGCTCTCCCTTAAGGAATACTTGCAGAACAGGTGTGGTAGTAATACCTTCCCAGAGCTGTTGTTTCTTTGGGGAAGTTTTGATTCCCCCTGGGAGAAAGATGAACCTCAGTTTCCTACTCTGTATAATGGGGTACCTGCCTCATAGGGTCGTTGAGAAGGTGCAGTAAGTGAACTCAGGTGCAGTGCTTTTGACAGAGCCCAGCGTTGTGGAAAGACTCCAGCATGTGACTTCTGTGTTATTTTTCATTGCTGTACCATGGCTGGGGCCTCTGGCCAACCCGACAGCAGATGGGCCTCTGCTGCTCACCTCAGTGAGGCCGCAGCCGGCTTCAGGATTTGCCGTGAGTGGATCAGATGTCCCACCAACACCCCAAATCAAACTCACCGCCATCAGGTCGATGCCAGCTCTTGGCAACCCCACAGGACAGGGTTAGAACTGTCCCTGTGCGTTTCCAAGATTGTGACTTTGTACGGGGTGTGGAAAGCCTCACCTTCCTCCTGCAGCGTGGCTCGTGGCTTCAAACTGCTGGCCTTGCAGTTCGCACCGCCAGGGCCTCAGACACAGTGTGGGCTGCACTGTCAAGCTTTGTCGGTGGCAGCCTGTGGCAGGGAAGATGTTTTTTTTTTTTTTTTTTTTTTTTA